TAAAGGGGAAGAGTGACAACTGATGTGGTATTTGCTGCCTATACGTCATAAGCCCATAGTCAAAAAACTCACTGACCTTGGTAAAGACACTGCCTGGTTTAGTGGGGTACAGATAAGCCCACACTGTGGATCTATGACTTAACACTACACTGGACTGCAGCTGAGGTATCCATTTGTATTAACATTATTAAAACATTCACCAAAGGAACACACTTCACCTGCCTGCCTGCATCTGGACAAGGGAATGCTTGCAGCAGAAAAATACAGAAAAAATTCAGACCTAAACAGGTCCATATGAGACCGCTTATGTCAGAGTAAGTCTGCTAGAGGTATAAGCAGCTATCAGGAGAGGTAGAAACTTGCACTTGGAGCCACACCCTTAGATATAGCATTACTGTACTAATTTTTAATTGCAGTATATTAAAAATGTGTTTCCAATATAATTGCTTAAAACAGAATAAAAGCTTAGAATAAATACAAAGAGTTCAAGGAGTAAATTCGTAACTTCCGGAAGGTTCTTTCACCAAAGGCATTGTAAAACAATAGCAAGAATAATACTGGGCATGTGCTAAAGCTCTAGGGGTATGATAATCTTTAAAGACAAATGAGAACTTTCAAAATAATGACAACTATTTTTCTGAATATTCAAAAAAGTCTTTGAGCTTGATGGCTGGGCCAGAAGACAGGTTTTACATATAATCAGCATTGCATATATATATATATATATATATATATATGTATCTCAAATACTGAATGACCTTGAACTGCTCCAATTTAGGATGAAATACAGAAAAAACCTTCAAGACATAAAGCAGTCTTTTTAAATTCTATTGTAGTATGTTATCTTTCTGAGCAATGATCCCAGCTTTGACTCTTTCAGACAAAAGTTAGACCTTCTAGCAAGCACGCTGCCTACATGTGGCTCAGGAATGTTCCTGCATTTACCTGTATCCATTGTCACAGGTGTACGATACAGAGGAAAGGTAGGTTGTGCCAGTGAGTGTGTATTTTCCATTGCTGATATCCTGTGGGCTACGACAAGTCACCATTTCACAGGAGGGGGGAGGATGATTCCAAATGCCACTGGCAAGGCACAGAATTTCCTTCTCACCCACTAAGTTGTATCCATCATTGCATCTGAGTTAGAAGAAAAGAAGTGCTATCAAACACACAGCCTTTTATGCACAACGTAATCAGCCATCCCTTTTCTCTCCTCATCCACACCTGCATACACCATCTTTCACTGCAGGGCACAGAGACGTAGTACTGGAGTAAACATTTAGCTCTGCTAGTGAATAGCCACAGCTATAACCAAATGTGTTTCCATTACTTTAATCCCATCTTTTTCCTCTCCTTCACTTCAACCACCCTCTCAGTTCAGCCATACTCTCATTTGTTGCCAGACACTCAATCAGTTATTAATATAGCACTTTAAACATACTAAATTCCTACCTGTACACCACCTTATTGTGGTATGTAAAATTTGAGCCCCAAATGGCACTGTTCTCTGGAATAACTGGAGTACCACAGGATATAGCTTTAAAAAGACAGGATCACAAAATAGGTTGATACAACACAAATAAAAAAGAACAGAAAAAAAGGATTTGCTTTGTTTTCTCTAAATAGGTTTGAAGAGGCATGAAGTCCTAGGTAACACTGGGTTCTTGACTAAGCTATAACTGACATTTAGGGCTCTTTATCTGACTCCACCTTACTCAGAAATTGGACTAATTGGCAATAGGTAGTTGGAAGTGTTCTACAAACCACAGGTTTGACTGTCAAGACGACTCCATATCCACCCCTCTTCATGGACAAAGTAATTGTTCTTTTTTGACATTGTCTTTGCCACCCCTTCATTTTACCCTGTTGCTCCACCTCATTAGTACTGGTTTCCTAAAGAAACATTTTCTGCAATTATACCATGTATATGTACATGCACCAGCCTGTCCTCTCTGGTTGCTTTTTATCCACTGAAACACAGTTAATGATCTTTAAGACATTAAGTTCCCACAAGTTCCTTGAAAACAGGAGGCTGGGTGGAAAATAAAGACACTTTTAATGCTTGCATTAAAATGAGATGAGTCTACACCTTTGACGCTTTAGGGTATCTGCATAAAAGAGTACCACTATGAATATGACAACTGTTGGAAAAGCTTCAGCTGGTGGTTAAATCTCTTAAGACAACAGAGACTTCAACAGTGAGACCCAGGTCTGCTAGGACAGGGTTTCATTAGCTGCTGTGGTCTCTAAAGGCTTTTAGAGCCTACTACTTTCCCCCGTCCATCTCTCTGACAACACACATTACAGTATGCATTCTCCCCAGGAACCACACCTTCACAATACGGTATTGGGTGGCTCCACTCTCCAGACTCCATGCATGTAAGTTTAGTCACTCCTATCAGCTGAAACCCTTCCTCACAGGAAAACGTTACTTCACTGCCAACACTGTAAGTGTCCCCATATAAATGGCCATGCTCTGGATTTCCTGGATTACGGCACTTCACCGGTTCTGAGAAGGAAGAGAGAAACTATCAATAACATAACTAAGTACCAGGTTTTATAAAAAAGTTGCAAAAGATATCCTCAGGAATTTTCTGAAAATAGGAAGGCAGAGCACGTGGAAAACACTCATAAGTAGTTTACAGCTTTACCAGCTTTTGTCTGTTCTATATGTAAAAGTGACAGGCACTGAAGACTTGTGCAAGTAAGCTAATCTTGATATGGAAGAGCCCTCTGTAACTGCATTTACATTCAGTGTCAGAAGCAAACACATCTTGCAGTCAACTTTCCCTCTGTGAGGGGAAGACCATTCCAGCATGTCCAGCCCTGAACGTGAAATCAGCTCAGCTAACTTTTATCCCAACCTATGCCACTGTGTTGTCATCTTCATGCGAAGTTACCTTGCCTATTGTTTCCTCAGGCAGCTCAAGCCCTACTCGGGTGCCTGTATTCAAATATTTCTTCGCCGCACAGCTCTGCTCTGAGAAGTGACACATAGTGGCATGCAGCCTTCCCAGGTGCTCAGCACACGTGCTCCGTGTGCAAGAGGATTTTGCATGTGTGTATGTCTCAGAGGGGAATCCCAATGACAGCTGTCTTCATAGGGAGAGATGTGTGCTCAAGAAACAAAAGGAGACACTTCATCGCAGCCTCATTCAGGCCAAAGTGACCTGCAGATGAGACCATGCCTGCCCTGTCCCTCCCTAGGTATCAGTGACTGGCAACTGTCCTCCATAGTGGGTGGCAGGATACTGGCCTGCACAGAACCCTGGAAAGGCCAGCCTGATGTTCTTCCTTCCCATACCTGTACATTTTTTACCATCTCCTGTGTAAGGAGGGATGCAAGTGCAAACATAGGATCCATTCGTGTTGAGACAAGATGCATGCTCGTCGCAGTCTGATCCCACAGCGCATTCATCAACATCTACAACAAAGAAACAAAAAAAAATATGTCTATAGCGTGGTATTTGTAATAAGCATCTGCTTTAAATTTCTGTTTAAAAACCCTTTAAAAACATTCCTCGTTTAAAAACCCTGCTACAGGACAGCTGTTGAACAGGGTATACCACGCAGACATATAGTTGGAGTTCTTTGCCCATTTCCAGGCAAAAAACCAACTTGGTTAAAAAAGCAACAAAGTGTACTGAATTGGTGTGTTTATTCTTCACTACTGAATGAGTCTGGCCAGCATGAAAAGAACCCGACAATGTTCTGGAAAGAAAAGGAGTTTCTTTCTGACATGTAGGATGAAAACTGCACATTAAAGTCAAAACAGTTGCCAGTTACACAAGTGCCAGGAGAATGCAAAGTGCTACCACAGCAGAACTGGAATGACTGCTCCTCCTGTTATGTCTTGCAAGGCAAGGAAGAGTGAATGACACTATCAATCAGTTCCATAACAGAGCAGAAGGAACACCCCAGGGCACAGGCCTTGTTAGCACCTGCCTGGACCGTGAATCAGAAAGGTAAAGGGTGGGTCAGGGTGCCAAAGCCACTCATTTTCATTTTCCCCTCAGTCTACTCTGCTTTATGAGAGACAGGCAAGCTGGAAGGTGAGGCACTGGGCTTTTCCTTCTCAACATCGTGCTTCCTACTGCACGGACATTAAATTATTTGGTCAGCCTTGCAGCATCTGCTCTGAGCCTGCTCGTCTTTAGGCCTTGGTATAAAGTGCAAAGGAGAAAAGCCAAGAGAGGAGCAACAGACTGGACCGTCTGTTTGGAGGTTCTGAAGGGGTCCTGGTAGACAGGATGCTATGAAACCAGGTGGATCGTACTCCAAAATGAATTTTGGTAGAACTAAAAGACTGTGGGGCTTTCTTTTGCTTGTCTTGACTGTCTTGACTGAAAATATTAGTGCTATAGCCACATAAAATTAAGAGTCAAATCAAACACAGATCTTGCCAGGTTGTTACCCCGCAACTCCCATGTTAGGCATGACTAAGACAGCAGCAATCCAAGTACAACTAGCTAGTGGATTCCAGCAAGAACAGTCACACCCAGTCCTCTGTACACAGTACAATGCTGGTCTGTCTCACCTTTCAGGTCCCTCAGCTGCATCTGGTACATCAGACCCAGCTGACCACAAGTAAGTTCTGGTGTGGCAACTATATGAACCATGTCCACAAGTGCACTCTGAGCCCTCTCAATGCTGCTGCTGCTTGCCGACAGGCGTGGGTGATTGACTGACCAATAAGCCCTCACAACGGAAGAAGGCAAAGGTGATCTGCCCGCAAAGCTCAGAGAATAATGTGAGGTGTAACTGACTGCTGCTGTTACGAAGAAGTTGGCTCAACACAAGGGGACAGGAAGGTGGCCTTTGTTTTAGGCAAACAGCTAACAGCAGTTGAGTGAATCAACTGATGGTGTAAATGCTTCTCCCCAAATTCATTAAAAGAGTGTGAATGTTTCCCTGAATTAGCCATACCAGCATGGGAGGCAGAACTGAATACGTGGCTCAGGCCAACATAGAGTATAAAAACCAAACTAGCAATGGCCTTGAGCTGGCTTCAACCCACGTATTCATTCCCGGCTGCTGGTGTTGCCCAATGTTGTGATGGTGAGCGTATTACAGAGACTGGTAATGGGAAACACACTGGTATTGTGATTGAACTGTGTATTGAAATTTCTGTATTTTGCTAAGTGTAACTTGTATTTATTTGTATTGTGTTATGCAGTATATTTTGTATCATTCTGCTAAATCAGAAATCCTGTGCAGCATCAACTGTCTTCAAATAAGTACATTTGATATTAAAAATTAAAACTTCCACCTGTGGAACATCTAAAAGAACCTGGTCAGAGAACAGTGTGCTGAAGCACAGGGAAATGCACAGGTTAGAATCAGAGAATGCAAGGACTCCAGGGCTAAACGAACTTGGAAGGAGAGAGGCTGGGAGTGCAATTCAGGCTTATTAAGTACAGGGTGCAGGGCATATGAGAGGATCAACAGAGAAAGGTGCCAGAATGTAGTTTTGTTCACACAATGTTGAGCATGGTATTTCAGAAAATGTATTTTGGAGTGTGATTTCTGAGGCTCTGGTCAGCCTTCACAATTTCAGAATGAAGTACCACCCAAACCCAAGGGCACAGGACAAGTGCAAGATCATCAGCCCATGCAGCCACACGTATGGCACATCTCACCAAGGCAAGATGGTGAAATGCTGTTCCAGCTCCCATTGTCCAGGCACAACATCCTGGAGTCACCCAACAAATAGTAGCCATTGTTGCAGTGATAGGTAACGGTACTGCCAGCAAAAAAGTCCTCAGCTGAATAAAATCCATTTTCTAAAGGTGGAGGCACTCCACAGCTGATCCCTGCAACATGAGTGAAAAGAGGGCACAGACATTAGCAGAGTAGACACAGATCAACTTCAGAATAATTCCACATATGAACACCACCAGAGATTTTTTTCTCTGCAACTGTGGAATCCCACCCATAAGAGGACTCAAACCTTTTCTGAGGTAGCTAATTGATTCCAGGTCCGGTGGAGGGTCTTGTTTCGTGGGCACTTGTCAGTCAGAGACTGAGCAGGGCTCTCCAGCTCCTGCTATTCTGCTAGCTCTGGAGGAGACATCTGTAACTAAGATCTGAGCAGATGCCCTTCAGTCACAGGACACTTCCCCTGATGATCCTTGGTGAATTTTAAGGAAAAATAAGTTTGCCTCCATGGAGGTTCCTGTTATTTCCCTTCACTGAAAGGGAAGGGAAGCTCAACGTTACTGTGTTTGAACACTGCAAAACTAGCTAACGGATTACTGCTAAGAGGTTACAGTTCTGGTCTGAGACCAGGGAGTGCATGAACGATGGAGAGATTGGAACTGAACTCACATACAACCCAGGGCATAACTTTGACTTTGACTATAGGAAAAAAGCCCTTCCGATCCCAGCTATACCAGCAGAAGGCATCATTGTACCTGCCTGATGAAGATTGCTATTTATTCTAGCAGAGCTGCTTCTGTGCATCTTCATTTCAATCAAGATGACATGAACTCATTCCAATAGCTACACAGTTCATCTTTGTACACTATATGGATTGCAGCAACTCCTTGCTCCCCAGCTGTGTGCAAGGATCATACAATAAGACACTGTGAAGTGTTTAGAGCCCATGGTAATGGAAGCCAAGTACTTGCTATAGAGGGATAGAACTGAAGAGCCTGTAACAAAGACAGGCTGTCAGGGGATGAGGACCTGTGGTTTTGGGGGTCTTTGATAGCAGGAAGAGGAAAATGATCTTGATGGGTGAAGGCAGTGATGACAATGAGCCTGGTTCAGTCAGTAGAGGAACCTTTTCTGTATTACATCTTCCACTATAAACCCTGTAGTTCGTTATGCAGCAAACAGCTATCTTCAGCCCAGTTTCATTCATCAGGTACTTGTGGAAGAGGCTGAGAAAGGCCGGTGGGTGAGTCTGTCCCTTGTTCACCCAGCATGTTTGTGGCAGGTCAGCCTTGTTCTGTCTGAGCTCTGTGCTCAACAGGAAAACTGCCTGGCCCAATATACAGAAATCAGATGACAACAGTAACAGAATTCTGGTGGCTTGTCACTGATAACACACCAAGAAAAAGCAAAGCTGTATCTGCCTGTGAACCTACACTCTGCCCAGCAGGACTTGCTTTTGGGTAAATCCTCACATGTCTAATATCTTTTAGGCAGAGGAGGAGACGGATCCTGGATTGTGCTATGAACAACTGAATAATGAGGAAGACATGAAAGTTGCATCAAATTTACATCAAATTATTTTAACATATTTTTAAGAAATTTGATTATTTTCCCCAAACTAGTGATCAATTTTGGGATCATGCGATACCTACTTTTGGAGCTAATTTACTATTCTGATGAAATGAAAAATATAGTTAGCTCAAACACATGCAACTGCAGTCACATGTGCAGTCACAGCAGAGGAGAACGAAATGAAAGGAGAAGGC